GCGGGGATGAAGAGAAAGATGCCGTATTGAAGAGATATGGCGTAAGAACTTTGTGGCTGTGTCTAAGAGACACGGCAAACATGTATGCACTCCCCTTGTTCGCCGATCGAGAAACAAGAGTCTTCCGATGTGCGCATGGGACACTTTAGAGCTCCGCTCTTTCACGCCTTGCTGGTGGTGGTGTCCTGTGGTGCTTTTGGTTCTCCTGTTCGTTTTGCGTGGTTCGCTTTGTTCGTGTGCGTGTGCGCCTCTTGTTCGCCTTTTGGCTCAAGCCATTGCAACAGTGGCTTCGGTCATAAAATGATGATGATGATGATGATGATGATGATGATGATGATGATGATGATGATGATGAGTGACAAATGATGGCTTTTCGGTGTAACAAGCCAATCTGATGCTTGAGACTGTCAAAGCCATAACAAGTCAATCTGACCCCTCTCACAAGCCAATCTGATGCGCACAAGTCAATCAAATGCTCCTCACAAGCCAACCTGATCCCTTTCACAAGCCAATCTAAAAACGAACAAGCCAACCCAATCTTCACAAGTCATTTTGATGAATTTTTGAATTCACAAGCCAATCTGACGCCCTGGAGAAATAGCTCGAGTACTTCCCAGCTCGCTGAGTTCGTTCTCCCCCACGACTCACGGGTCTGCCGCATTCCCCATCAACCCCGAGTCGAACAAGACTACTACGGTGCACGACCAGTTTGCAAAGATGTCCCCGCAAAGACTGCTGTCTGCAAAACTTCGCCCTGCCAGTGTGAAGCTTGCAAAGATGTCTTCACAAAGGCAGCTGTCCGCAAAACCCGGCAGCAGCGGGGTGCTAAACCTTTAATGCACTGTGTTTGTGTTCCTAGGATGCCTTGTAATGCACATGTGTGTGATTACCAAACGGGTTGTACAGTTGACATTTTCGGTTGTGTTGCAAGGTCTGATTAAAGGCTTTTCGGTCCAAAATATTTTTCTCAGTGGGCTTTTGAGCACTGGTTTGTCCCTCGGTCATGCGAGTTGATCCCCTGGTTCTCTTTTGGATGGCTGCGTGTTTTTCTTCTGTTGCCGGAGTTGGCCCCCGTTTGTGGTTTCCGGAGCAAGTTCAACCCCCTGTTCTCTTTTGGGGCCACGCAGCTGCTCCTTCCGATATTGTGCACAGGGGCAGAACAATCAAGAAGCTGTGCAAGCGAATCCTCCAGCAAAGGAAAAAGTGCAGTGGACAACTTGGAATTCAGCTTGTCAGCGACCCATATTGGAAAGCTGTCTATGTGTCAAGCTGTTTGTTGTGGCTATTTGTCAAAAGCAGCTAGCTCATTTAGCTCCAATAAATTGGAAGTTTTAAACTTCCTTTGACCGTACATTCGGCAAAGCTGGCGGGTGGAAACTTCAAAAACATGAGTTGTTTTCTCAGCTTCTTGTTTTTCCCCTTTTTCTTTCTTCCCTTTGTTACTTTGTTTCTTTCTTGCCGTCCTTTTTTGTTTTCCTTCTTTTCTCTTTCTTTGTTTTCTGTTTGTTTGGTTTTTGGAGTTTTTTGTTGCTTCCTAGCTTTCTTTGATTCTTTCTTTGATTCTTTCTTTCTTTCTTTCTTTCTTTCTTTCTTTCTTTCTTTCTTTCTTTCTTTCTTTCTGTCTTTCTGTCTTTCTGTCTTTCTGTCTTTCTGTCTTTCTGTCTTTCTGTCTTTCTGTCTTTCTGTCTTTCTATCATCCTTTCTTCCTTTCCTCCTGTCTTCCTGTCTTCCTTTCTTCCTTCCTTCCTTACTTTGTTCGTCTCTTCCTTTCTTTCTGTCTGACTGATCCATGCCTCCATCTATCTTACGCATTTATCTCTCTGTATGTTTCTACTCCTCTATCCATGTTTCTACCTCTCTCAATCTCTCTCTTTCTCTTTCTTGTTTTCTTTTTTTCTTTCATTTATTTTGTTTCTCTTTCTTTCAGCCTTTTCACTGTTTTCTTTCTTTCTTTCTGTTCTTTCTTTCTCTCTCTCTCTCTCTCCTCTCTCTTTCTCTCTTTCTTTCTTTCTATCTATTCTATTCTATTCCATTCCATTCCACTCTATTCTATTCTATTGTATTCCATTCTGTTCTATTGAATTTTATTCCATTTTTCCTATTGTATTCCATTCTATTAATTTCTATTGTATTCTATTCTATTCTGTTCTATTCTCTTCCATTCTATTGTATTCTATTCTACTCTATTCTCTCCTATCTTTCTTTCTTTGTTTCTTTCTTTCTTTCTTTCTTTCTTTCTTTCTTTCTTTCTTTCTTTCTTTCCTTCTTTCCTTCTTTCCTTATTTCCTTCTTTCCTTCCTTCCTTCCTTCCTTCCTTCCTTCCTTGCTTCCTTCCTTCCTTCCTTCCTTCCTTCCTTCCTTCCTTCCTTCCTTCCTTCCTTCCTTCCTTCCTTCCTTTCCTTCCTTCCTTCCTTCCTTCCTTCCTTCCTTCCTTCCTTCCTTCCTTCCTTCCTTCCTTCCTTCCTTCCTTCCTTCCTTCCTTCCTTCCTTCCTTCCTTCCTTCCTTCCTTCCTTCCTTCCTTCCTTCCTTCCTTTTTCTTCTTCTTCTTTTTTGTCTTCTTTTCTTTCTCTTTCTTTCTTTCTTTCCTTCTTTCTTTCTTTCCTTTTTCTTTCTTTATTTCAGCTTTCTTCACTCTTTTCTATCTTCCTTGCATCATTGAGCTCTATTCCAACTCCCGGATTTGCCGACGAATATTCCCACCTAAGTCTCGGAACTTAAGCATGAACTGGTAGTTTGCGAATGAAGCCGCTTTCTTGGCTCAAAACGCTCTGAGTTGTGGCCATGGCAAGTTGCGTTCAGCGCTTCGCATTCGGACTTCTTGGCTTCAGGCGAGTGCAGATGCCCTGAAGGCCGAGCGTTGCCTATCTTCGTCCCCAGGGCTGCGCCTGCGAGTAAAATGCTGGGTCGAGGCCCGAACCCGCGCAGCGGTTGGGGGCGCTTCGCGAGATTTGGACAAGCTGAGAGGTGCGGTGGACAGGACCGGGGTCGCTGCCTTTGGCAAGGAGTATGATAATTTTGACGCACATGTTTGCCAATTGATTCCCGGCTTTGTAGTGATCTTTGATGCTGGAAAAAACATGTTTTTTTGGCATTTTTAACAGGTTTTTGCTCAATCGTTTTTGCCGTCCGGAGAAAACTAAGGATTGAGTCAATTCCAGAGGAGCTTCGACTTGAACTGTCCAGAAAATGCGGAGAGCCCATGCTCAGGCTATCAGAGCTTGCGGCGAGCAGCTCGGGCCGGCAACCATTGTTTCAGCAGCTCGCCGTAGCAGCCGGGACGGGTTCTCTCCTGTCGATCAGCGGGTACGTGGGCACGGCAAAGCTGCTGGGGTTTGGAGTCACAGGCGTCAAGGCTGGCACTTGGGCAGCTGCCAAAATCAGCATGACAGCCAAGGCGCCAGGCGGAGCAATTCCACTTTTTTCCACGGCCTGGTGGGGTCAGTCTTTGACTGGATTGGGAACCGCCATGTATGCGAAGACCACACTTGGCCTGATCGTGCCATTCCTGGCCTACTCCACCGTCCTGGGCGCTGGGGCAGCCGGCGGATGGTGGCTTTGGAAGATGCGGGGCGAGAGGCAGAAGGAATTGATTTTGGCGGCCATTAATAATCTCGGTCGGGCCATGGATGCACTTGAATGTGCGAGGCCGGCATTGAATAAATGCAGGCTTCAATCGCAGGTAGTCGCTTCAATCGTCAACGCAGGACGTGTTTGATTGCTTGAGATGCTGCTTGGAATCCGGCGGCTTGACAACACTGCTTCCGACGGGTGCTCAGTACTGTAGCCTGAGCTCGGAAATCGGCGAAGGAAAACCTCAGATTTGTGCAATGAATCAACACTTCTTTGGTCCCGGGTGGTTTGAGCATTTGCATCAGCTTGGCGAATACGTTTGCAGTTCCCGCACCATTGCTTAAAATGTGCGACACAAAACAATTCGCTTTGAACAAGGCCCTCACCATGTGCTACACGTTGATTGAGTAGCAAGGAAGAGCAGGCTAGGAACAACCTCTTGGAGACCCAACATTACGGATGCCTAGGATCATACGCGCGCAAGAGTCAACATCCGAACACTTGCTTTCGGCATGCTTGGACTTTCGCTGAAGCCTTGCTGCCACGCGTGAGCGTGTTTTGTGCTCAAACATCCTTGCCAACTTTCATGGGCAATCGCCAGAACAGTTTTGTCGCCGTCATGGTGAAAGCATAGGAGACTCCCCAAAATTGTGCTTTTCCATTGAGGTCCTGCGTTAAGACCACCAAAAAATGGGTACCAGTCGTCGCCTCAAACAAATTGACCAACCGTTTTGGCTCACCAGTGATTCGTAGCTAGGGTGCCATTGGCGGCCGAACCCCGCTCCGGCCTAAAGGTTGAAATGGCGGGTGTAAACGACATGTTACTCCGTACTGACTTTCAGAAAGACATACATGTGGATGATTCCTTTAACACACATATGTATATATATATATATATACATATATTATATATATATATATATATACATAGACATATCTGTAGTACATATCGCAGGCAGGGTCAATGTTGGACATGTTGAAGGCCAAGTTTGAAGGCGTCCGGGCCAACTGGAAGATGCCGAGAAATGCTTTGTGATGTGAGGTGCCAGAAAATGCGGCTGAAGCTGGTTCATGAGGACCTGGGTCAGCCAGATGTGGCCAGGATGTGGAGATCTTCATTTTGTAAGTCGGAGCCATAGAAATCCTTGACTTTTAGCATGCATGCATGTAGGTGCGTCTTTTTAGGGGATCCACCAAAGTGGTTGAACGAGAAAAAGAAAGGGGTTCGCCCAATAATAGACCCCCCCATTTTTTTGGATCAACATAGTTTGCAATGCTGTAATTTGACAGTGATTGTGCAGAATCCAGCAGCGACGGGTTCTTAGCCTTGAGACATTTCAGTGGGCGGAGTGTGGCCTGGACGCAAAGGGCCAGCAAGCTGATCTGATGCAATCTTCACACTTGGTTTCGTGTAGCCCTGGCTCGCAAGGAGACCCCAAAGCACAAGTCGCTGGTCACTGGTGTCGGCTGGCCCGAAGCTTGGCCACTTGCTGCTTGCGAGTCATAAAGCGGCGAGTGCGATTGCACGACTGTGCTTGAGACAGCCTCCTGGTATTGTACATGCTTGCAGGTACAAGACCGGCAAGCAGTACGAGCTCCTGTCGGTCGGAGATGACCAGGAGAACTGGATGTTTCAAGCTGATGTGTCTTTGGAATGTTGGCTCAAGTCAACTCATCTCTCTTTTTCAGGAGGTGTGGAAGTGGCATGTGGAGGGCTCTCCCATTGCGTGCCCCTCAGCTTGCTGAGGAAGGGAAGGACTGCACTCCTTTCTGGGGCTATGGGCGGCGAATCGGGGCATCCCTCTCTAGAGCTGCAAACATCTCATGTGATTATTTGTCTTCTTTTTGATAGAGCATGCCCAGGGTTGGCATCGTTAGGGTTTTCCACTTGGCCCAATCGCACTTTGGGTTTGCGAGTGATTGTATTTTCCAGGCTTGGTGCCAGATCCTCCCCAACAGTCCAGATTGGGGCCTTCTCAAGGGTCCTTCTGCCCAACGGGACCACTGGAGTTGGATTTGCTTTTTGGCTTTTGTTTGAAACACCAAGGTGCAACAAAAGTTGCAACCCAACGAATCAAAGGCCACCAGCCCACTGAGCTTCCTGGGATAGTTACCCCCTCCCCACTTTTCATGCGTATGACTCTATGACGTGTTTCTTTTTTCAATACGGACCCCCAGAAATTGCCTGGCGGTTCCCCTTTAGACTCATCCAACCGAAAGTGTTTCATTCAGAGAACCGCCCGGCGGAACATTTCTCTCCAAACCGACTCATCGGTCCATTTGCGTCAGGTGAAGCTCAGCAGCTGCGAGTCCTTTTGCACGGCCGGGAGGTTTTGGGGTTTGGGGTTTGGCCTTCGGGGAATCGAAGAAACAGCTCCAAGTGGTTCCTTGGTTTTTTTTTCTCCTTTTTTTTTTCTCCTTGGGTTTTTCTTGGGGTTTCCTTTGGAGTTTTTCCTTTTGGGGTTTCGAAGAAAAGCGTGTCCGTTGGAATCCTCCAGGTCTGAGGGATGAATTCCTCCCGGGCGGAAAGGGAAGCTACCAGCTCGTGAAAAGAAAACCGTTTGGGAACCGAAAACCCCAGTTTGAGCGCTGGGCATCTCGTTTTTGTTTTGTGATTTCTTGAAGAGCTGCTTGCTTGTGTGTTTTTTGTTTGCGCGGGAGGATGGTGATTTTCTTTTCCACCTCTTGATCCATGATTCCTTGAGAGGCCATGGCGTGGATGCCGAACGGCAAAGGCGGGGGTCGGGCGAGCAGGTTGCTGCTGGCCATGTTCCTGGTTTTAGATCCGCGAGAAAGACAGACAGTCAATAAGAATTTGTTTGGCCGGCTGATTGGAACGAAAGCGGCTGGACACTGGAGGGGTTTTGATAACTTATGGTTCTCAGAAGAGCTTGATGGCCTGGTTTCCCAGATCTTTGCAGGTTCTGTGAACTTACCGCTTGCGAGCACATGTTTGCAGCTGTTTTCTTTTCTGCTGCCGTCCTGAGCCACCCCGCCAGCAGGTTGGGAAGATCTTCCCGGGGTGGCGTCCTTTTGTTTGATTCCCCCCGCAAAGCGAGATAGGACCTCAAAAGGCGGGTCGATTCTGCCCAAATGACCCTGGGGGCACAACCGGATGCGAAGGATATTCTTGAACATCGCCCTTCCGCTCGCATGCGGGTACGTGCTCAAGAAGGGAGACTCCCAAACATCTCAGTTTCCCTAACCAAGCCCCTAAAGAGGTAGCTTCCGTTTCAAACAACAATCATCCCTGGCACAGGTTCCGAGAACACCTTTGCTCTTGGCTGCGCAGACGGCACCTTCCGTCTGGTGAGCGAGACTGGGCGAGAAGAGAAGAAGGCTGGACGTCTGAGCTAAAACCTGCCAGATTCTTCTAAGCCGGAGAAGGAAAAGTGAAGCCTCAGCAACTTTGGGGCCTTCAGGTGGAGTGGCTCTTGTGGGAAGTAGGTAAAAGTGACGCCTCAGGAGTAAAAGGGAAGCTTTCTTGCTGGTGCTCAGTAGGGAATGAGGGAATGAACCCACAAATTCCTTGAAAGGAAGCCACAAGGGGTGGTTGCTAAGGGTCATTCCATTTCTCATTCCCTGCCTGCCGCACCAGCCAGCATTTGGAAGTGTGCTCTTCTGTTAGGTGGATGCGCACCGAGGGGCTGTGATCTCCTTGAGATGGAGCTTTGATGGCCCGGAACGTCCAGCCGACCATCGGCGCCGGAAAGTTTGGAGTGTGCCGGAGGAGAACTTGGGCCCCGGAGTGTTGACCACGGGTATTTGAATTGCCAGAATGTTGCTATGATCTTGGGCACCAAAACCACAAGCTGCTGACTTTGCGGCGGCGATTGGTCGTGTTGGCGGAGTTCTTGATTCCCCCCACATTGCCTGGTCTGTTGGAATGGTGAATGCAGTGAACGCAGGTCCCTCGGCTCATTCCCAACGAATGGGTGGACCGAGGCTCAGCCATTGCCACGGCTGGCGAGGACGGCATTGTCAAGGCAAGCGGCACACTAAATCGAGTACGTGACAAATGGGGTTCCCTCATCACTCAAGAACTCATTAATTTATCCACCCATCTTACATGTCATTTACTTATGTACCCATTTACTCATTCACTCATTCAGTTATTCACTCATTCACTCATTCACTAATCCACTCAGTCACTAATTCATGCATTCAATCATGCATTCGTTCGTTTGTTTGTTTGTTCATTCATCCATTCATCAATTCCATCATGTGTTCGTTTGTTCGTTCATTAATTCATTGATTGATTGATTCATTGATTCATTGATTCATTCATTCATTGATTCATCGATTCATTGCTTCGTTGCTTCGTTGCTTCTTTGGTTCTTTGCTTCATTGCTTCGTTGCTTCGTTGCTTCTTTGGTTCTTTGCTTCATTGCTTCATTGCTTCATTGCTTCATTGCTTCATTGCTTCATTGCTTCATTGCTTCATTGCTTCTTTGGTTCTTTGGTTCTTTGCTTCATTGCTTCATTGATTCATTGATTCATCGATTCATTGATTCATTGATTCATTGCTTCATTGCTTTATTAAGTCATTGATTGATTCTTTGCTGTCTTCCTTCCTTCCTTCCTTCCTTCCTTCCTTCCTTCATTCATTCATTCATTCATTCATTCATTCATTCATTCATTCATTCATTCATTCATTCATTCATTCATTCATTCATTCATTCATTCATTCATTCATTCATTCATTCATTCATTCATTCATACATACATACATACATACATACATACATACATACATACATACATACATACATACATACATACATACATACATACATACATACATACATACATACATACATACATACATACATACATACATACATACATACATACATACATACATACATACATACATACATACATACATACATACATACATACATACATACATACATACATACATACATACATACATACATACATACATACATACATACATACATACATACATACATACATACATACATACATACATACATACATTACATACATACATACATACATACATACATACATACATACATACATACATACATACATACATACATACATACATACATACATACATACATACATACATACATACATACATACATACATACATACATACATACATACATACATACATACATACATACATACATACATACATACATACATACATACATACATACATACATACATACATACATACATACATACATACATACATACATACATACATACATACATACATACATACATACATACATACATACATACATACATACATACATACATACATACATACATACATACATACATACATACATACATACATTACATACATACATACATACATACATACATACATACATACATACATACATACATACATACATACATACATACATACATACATACATACATACATACATACATACATACATACATACATACATACATACATACATACATACATACATACATACATACATACATACATACATACATACATACATACATACATACATACATACATACATACATACATAGACTGCTCATACATTTGTACCGCTCATACATTCATACATGTATACGTTTGTACATTATACAATCATCATACATTTGTACATTTATTCATTCGTTTGTACACATCTATTCATTCATACATTCGTACATTCATACATGTATATATCAATTCATTCATTCATTCATTCATTCATTCATTGATGCATGCATTCATTCATTCATTCATTCATTCATCCATCCATCCATCCATTCATCCATTCATTGATTCATTCATTCATTCATTCATTCATTCATGCATTCATTCATTCATTCATTCATTCATTCATTCATTCATTCATTCATTCATTCATTCGGACTGCTCATACGTTCACACTGCTCATACATTCATACATTCATATGTTAGTATAATCACATATTGAAACATGCATTTCTACATTCATACATTCATTCGTTTGTACATTCTCACATTCATACATTTGTACATGTGTACATGCATACATGCATTTCTACATTAATGCATTCATTCCCGGAGCCATTCATACCTTAATGCATTTATATTTGTATGCATTCATGCATTCATGCCTTCATGCATTCCTGAATGCATAGATTTTAAACATGTTTATGCATTCACATATTGATGCATTCATGGATCAAGCACTTCCTTACACTTATTCATGCACACATGCATTCATGCATACGCACATCCATGCAGCCATCCATGTATCCTTGCAGACATGCAGACATGCATCTGCCCATCCGTCTATTTATTCATCTCTCCCATACGGACAGACAGACCGCGCGACCACCGACCGACAGACAGACATACACGCATTTAGCAACATACACCCAATTTCGCACATGCATACATCAGGGTAGTGTATTGACACATGCACCCATGCAATTTCATTCAGCATCATCTTGGGTACGCACACCCTTTTTTCAGAACGAATTTGGCATGTGCTGTCAGAAGCGTTTGTTCCTATCAGTACTATCTATAGAAGTCTGGAATCGACGGATTCAGCCACAGAGTTGTGGCTATGACTTGTGCTAAGCTGGGGCTGTCAGAGACCAGACACATTCTGGCTGCCTTTTTGGGCCGCGAAAACGAGGCCTTCGTTCGGTGAACGCGTGCGCGTTCTATTCGTCTTGCACGCGCGTTCTCCAGGTGTGGTCCCGCAGCGGAATGCTGCGGTCTGCTCTGGCCCAGCAGCCGGGGCTCTCAGGGCTCGCCAAACCGCTCGTCGGAGCTAGCGACTTGGGAGAAAGGAGGAGAAATGGGATTCATGGATTCATGTCTTGATGCCACTTTTTTTTCTTGAACTCCCCAGTTGTTTTTCTCTCCCTTGCAGGATTTTCCCTCTTCAACTCCCAAGTTGTTTGTTTTTTCCATGGCGGGATGGAAGGCTTTCGGGTGGGTTCCTTCTTGGTACCGATCTCCCGGCAACAAGCAGGAAGATGTGTGAGCTGTTGAGAACAGGACGGCCTTGGCCGTCAAAGCAACAAAGCTGCTCAGATCGAAGCCATCACATTGTGGAACAATATGGCCATGGGTCATAACCTATGCCGATCCCATTTTGGGGCGGATGAACACCCATGTACCACCTATTTTGATGTTCACCGGGGGTACAGGGTTTTGACCCACAGGCATATGGATGTCCAAGATGTATATATATATATATATGTATATACGGATCTAAGCAAGCCAATGGGAAGGAAGGGACATTTAGGACATCCAGGTGGCCCTTTCTGACGGCTATCCTTTCATCCAGAATCAGACACATTGGGTGGCACATCGTGCATTCTAAAAGCCATGGCTTTAAGATATTTCCCCTTTCAAAAGGTGCTTTCAGACTGAGTGAGGATGAAGCTGTGGAAAGACCGTGAACGCCTTGCAACCTGCTCAGGTCACATGCCATCTACTCCGTGGTGTGGTCACCAGATTGCGGGGCACTCAGGGTGTAAAGGATTCCGGCCACGCCAGAATTGGCAGTGCATGGATCGGGGCGTGGCGGATTTATCAGATTCGCCCTGCTTTGCAATGGCATGCCACAAGGCATGGCTCGCAACAATGTTTCTCTGCGCGGTAGAAGGATTGGCTATTTAAGCGAAGGGTTGGAATCTTCATGCACGACTCTGAGTTCGAAATACCTCGAGTGGGTACCAGATGAGTATGTGTGTGTGTGTGTGTGTGTGTTGGGCCCTGTCATTTACGTCCTCCCGGAGGTTGTGGGATGTTTTGGGAACTTTGAAGTTGCACCCACTTGAGCAGCGGCAACTTAATCTCCAAGAGTGTCCAGGTGTTGAAACTGGGAGACTCGCTAGAGGCTCCCCTCACCGATGCATTTCTTTTTGGGGAATTAGAACCCGGGCGCTTGGCCCAACAAATAACCCGCCAGACGGAAACGAGTCGACCGGAGTCAACTGGAACCAAATCGAGCGGTCTGAAGGAAGTGGGAGCCAGGTGAGCACATCCTCTTCGCCTGCAGCACCAAGATCCACCTGAAATCCATCCAGGCCATGAGCTGAAGGGAGTGACTGGGCAGGCCACTTTGAGACTTTGAGCCGGGAGAGACTGGCAGACTGAGGGGGTGGTTCTCCTTTGAGCCGCAAGTCCAGATGGTTTGTGTTTAGTTGCCATTTGACGAGAAGCTCGGATATTGCTGCTGCAAAGGTGTACCAAGGAGAGGGGGGGGGTCGTTCGAACTCTGGTGATGGATTTGATACCCTAGTTTGCAAAGTCTGAGTCTTGATGCCAGATCCGCGGCTTCTCTTGACAATAGTTAATGCTACTGAATATCCAGACTTGAGTCAGCAGAAGTATCACTTGCTGAAATCTTACGGGGACGCTGGTTGTCATGACGGCGAGATTGCCAATATGTTGTCTTAATGCTTTTGCATTATGTATCCGGAAACAGGCTGCTTGCGCAGGTGCCATGTAGGGAATGATCCAAACATGTATTCGAATTGGGCACAGGGAAGCCCACAGGATGGAACAACTGCAAGCAGAGCAGAAGATGGAAACATGGTCGGACCAGAGTTGGTTTGCAATGTGGGGGACTTTCCGAGCTCAACTTTTAAGGCGTTACCTAGCCTCTGCCGACTTTCCAGGCCACTTTGCTTATCGCAGTCTAGCAAGGATCTGGGTTCGGGCAATCTCGTCCCGTTTGAGTTCAGCTGGCTGTGGGTCAAAACCAATGGTAGCATTTTGGGCTAGGTCATGGTGGGGATTGGGATGTTCACTGGGGGTGCGGGCTTTTGACCCGTGGCCAGCTGGCTTGACCGTGATTCAGCTGGGCTGGTGATCAGCCTGAGTCCACTCCTTCCACTTTTGAGAGGGACGGATGCGCGAAGTCAATTCGCCGCGCCGCTGAGGCGGGGCAGAAGCAGGTGGAGTGGAAGGCGGGGCACGCTCGTCTCCTGACACCGACAGGGCTCCTATTAGGTCACAGGCTGCTAAAAAACCTGGAGGCGAAAGCTGTGTCCCCTGGCTTTTCTGCAATTTGTTATCTCTGGCTCATGCTTGGCAGTGAACGGGAGAATTAGGACAGTGTTTTTTTATGCAACAGTTGTCAAACACCCAATGGTTTTTTTTCATAGTTGCAGTTCAACTGCTCGAACATCTGAATCAGCAAACTGCAGCCAACGCACGGCAGAAATCCTTCTCGAAGCTGATACTTAAAAAAGAAGCGATGCATGTAGCGAAACACATTAGAGTGTAGCTGAGTTGGTATATTGTCTTGCAATGATACTATTTGTCTATACGTTGAGTGCCCACTATGAAGCCAGCGGGTCGTTTGCATGCTCCCCCTCATCACAGAGACTCTTCTAGCAAATTCATGTTTGCTGAAATGGACATGGTGGCTCTGCAGATGCCTTTTGCCCACATTTGCAACCAACATTGGCCATGCATCAAGCTGTGTGCACTCATGTGTGTTCGTGTGTGTGCAAGCCTTTCATAACAACGGTAACATGCCGCACCCCCCCCTCCCCCACCCCCTCCCCCACCTCCTCCCCCACCCCCTCCCCCCACCCCCCTCCCCCACCCACTCCCCCCCTCCTCCCATCCCCCAGCCCTGCTCGCAACTGCAACTCGACACATCAAGGCCTAACCGCAATCAGCAGAAAACTATTAGGGTGACAACAGCTCATGAAGGATTGGTGCGATGCGCAACATGACCCAAGTTGCTTTTGTTTGTCAACGGCTTGAGAACAGAAGGATATGAACTTCAGCGGGTTTTGCTGGGTAAGAGAGGCAGAAGCCCCTTTGCCGCATACGTCTCGGGCTACAAGACTTGGATCAGAGACCTCTGCCATTCTCTGAGCCTGTCGCAGGCTCACGACGGTGTGGTCATTATGCTTGACTGGCGGACTCCTTACTGCTCCATTTTGACATCCTCTGATGTTTTTCCTAACGGGCAACACCCCTGAAATCGGGCGGTGGACATCAACCCTCGTGTACATGGCGTCCGCCAAAGCCCACATTCAAAAAAAACGGGTGCGCGGTGTGAGCCTGGCTCCGGCAAGTTCCTCAGCTGGACATTTGAGGTCCTTTGTCAACAACACGATCCTTTCTGCCGGCGAAGACTGCCGGCGGAGCTCTCAAGACACTTGTGGTTTTCCACGAGTTGCTGGAGTTGGGCTTCAGGCTTCGAGACCACAAGGGAACTCACCATTTTGGGGGGTTCTCCTATTTTGAGACAAACCCAAATGGAACCCTTGAACCGGGGTTCGGTTTGGTTGGGGTTTGCGAGGAGTCCCGCAAACCGTATTGCTTGCCCTTTCCAAGACGTCCAGCCTGGCTTGGTGGCTTCATTTGTGTGGCACTTGAGGTACAAAATTTGGGATGCCTATGGGCGGCTCCTCTTCAACTCAGCCCCCCTGGACAACGTGGTGACCGCAATCGCCCTTGGCTCAGAGAAGAACAGCGAGCTCCGAATCTAACCTGAATGGTGCTGGTGGTTCCAGCCACCCTGGTAGGTTTTCGGCTGCTAGGGTTCGGTGGTAGTTCCCACTAAACTACGAACAGTCAGACTTTTAGCATGGGATCTGGGAACGTCCCAGACGGTGTGCCTTGTCAAAAGAGAAGGTTCCGCTCTGAAAAGCGAGCCCCCGGATGAATCAGCATATTAAGCCTTGGTTCCCATCGCCCATTTTCCTGGGCTCGCATTCTGTGGCTGCTGGTCTAATAAAGTGGAGATGTGGTGGGCGGGCTGTTGGATTTGGTTCCGCGTTAGTTCCTCTGGGTAAGAGCAACAATCAGTTGGCACATGGCGCAATTGTGGCCCCATTTCGTAGGAGTCTCCAAGTTGCTATTTGTCCCCGTCGGTTCTGCCAGCTGATTGTCACTCTAGGGGAAAATCTGTTTTTAGAAGGGACCCCCTGCAGGACGGGTGGTTGCATGTTGTCTCCGAATGGGAACTACATCCAGGTGGCTTCCGTTTGGCCTCCCTTTGATTTCCCATGGTTTTCAATTCGTTCTCTTTGTGTCCATCTTCTCCCTATGTTGTCCATCTTTTTTGTTTGTTTTCCATCTTCTCCCTATGTTGTCCATCTTTTTTGTTTGTTTTCCATCTTCTCCCTATGTTGTCCATCTTTTTTGTTTGTTTTCCATCTTTTTCCATTGTTGTCCATCCTTTTCGTTTGTTTTCCATCTTCTCCATTTGTTGTCCATCTTTTCGTTTGCTTTCCATCTTTTCTCTTTGTTTTCCATTTTTTTGTTTGTTTTCCATATTTTTCCTTTGTTGTCCATCTTTTTCGTTTGCTTTCCATATTTTCCCTTTGTTTTCCATCTTTTTTCCCTTTGTTGTCCATCTTTTCCCTACTTGATTTTCCGTCTTTTTCGTTTGTTTTCCATCTTATCTCTTTGTTTTCTTTTTTTTTTTCCCTTTGTTTTTTTGGGTCTATTTCCATCTTTTCCTTGGGAAGCAAAGCAACTTGCCTACCCAGCCTCAGGCGTGGTCTCCAACAGGCACACGCGGGGGAGTCCGCGTGTCGTACCAAAATCCATCGATGGGACACCCCGCAAACCCAGAAAACAGGCACGCCGAGCTTTTGTGACTTCATGATCTGGACCTTTTGAGCCGCGATTTCTCATGCTTTGGGTCAGTTGTGGGTTTTTGGTTCGCTTTTGCTGGCCTCTTTAAGTTCCCCCAATTTAGGCTTGAAGGCTGGCACTCAGGTTCCCCGGTAGGGCTTTGCTTCGATTCCCCCTCCCCCCGCCCCCGTTTGCCGAATGGGCTTTGTTTATTTTTTTTTGGCAACAACCCCAAAAAGGTACCCCCAGAAGACAAAAAAGCAACCAAACAAAACAAAGGTACTCTCAGGGGAAAAACAAAAAGAACACGCACAAAAGAAAGAAACAAATAAACAAACGCCCCGTGAAAGTTTATGGTGAGGCGCCGAGCACGTTTTGGCAGGCAGACATTTTGCGGTCGGCAGCTTCAACGCCGGCGGCCCGGAAAAGGGCCACGGGACAGTCGGCAGAGTTGATTCTTTTTAAAGTCCAACGGGTGCAGACGAACAACAAATATGGCTGTGGTGGTCAAAACCGTTTTGGGATCCCATTTTGGGGGTTTTCGGTGAATTCACCACCCAGTTTAGGCTTCCTATTTTAGTGGGGATTGAATCGGATGTTCACTGGGGGATAACCGGGATTTTGACCCATGGCCATATGGGTATTCGGTTGGACCCTTTGTTGGACCTTATTTTTTCTTCTCCTCTGGGTTGGCCACGTCCTTAACGGTTGACCAGCAGAATGGACATCATTTATTGAGAACTCATGTCCGCCAGAGTTTTCTTTGTGTTGGGTTTTGTTTGCGCCAGAGTTTTCTTTGCATGTTTCTTTGGGTTTTGTTTGCTCGGATCCTTTTGTCGTTGGTTGGAAGCTCTCCCAACCTTTTGGTTGGAGTCTCAAGGGCTGGGCCATCAACATGTACTCGTATATGTATATATATATATATGTATGTATGCATATCTAAAAAAAGTACCGGCTTGCAACTCCTAGCAACAAGTAGCTTTTGACCTGTTACAGTATAGGTTGCCATTTGTTTGGGGGTTTGACACGTCATGCGCATGTGCCGTCATTTGCCGTGCGTTTCGACCTGCATCATCTAAAGAACAAGCGAGCACATGTAATGTACGATGTTCATTTCCACTAGATAAATATACGAGCACAACGCAAGAGTGTGATTCTATCCCAAACGATTCCATTTGTTCAACCTGTGCAGACAATTCTTTGCTACCGCGAAGGTTTGCCGTGCCTGCATCCACAAGGTGTTCATATGCGTGTATATCTGTATATATATAGATATAGATATATCATTAAGACACACGAGCACATGATTGCATGGCACCCATTTTGCTTCACAAATCATCTTGCTGGCATAGGGCGTTGATCAAGCATTGTGACGCCAACAACACATTCTGAATAAGCTTATAAGCTAGTGCTCTCATCCCGGAGGGTGCTAGTGCTTTTCTGTTGCCACATACCAGTTATGGCACAGGCAAAGCTAATGCACGTGCTTACATAAGTTGCCTTTCGCATGTCGTGTATACGGCCATAGCATGTATAGGATGCCCAGAGACTCCTGTACACATGATTCATAACGCGTGGCAATATTCTCAGGCTCTACCAGTTCAGCACAATTAGGCCAGGGTTTTTTGTTCATATTTTGGGAGGGCACCGAAGCAAAATGATGCATTGCAATGCAGTGACGAAAGCCTTTTGAGAATTGGATGTTTGTTAGGGCCATTGCCTATTTTGTTGTCTAGCATGCGTTTAGTGGTACTTGATGTGTGATCCAACAGGTTTTAGATTGTTCAACGACAACTGATACAGTAGTGGTAGCCATTTCGTGAACACACCTGTAGACTTCGACATTATTGGCCATTTTCAACCGTTGTGCAGCATCGGCTTTGCATCATTTGGCAAATGTAGCGCAACATGTTGTTCGTGTTGCACATCAATCTTCCTGGATCGGTAGACCCCAAAACAGCAACAACAAACGAACAACAACCAACACACAGCACATCCCAACCGGGTTCTTTTTGTGTCCATGTGTTTGCCATGGTTAGCAGTACAGTACTGCACTGTTGCGCAGCATTTTCATGGAGGCTTCAACAAGAGCAAAGGCTAGCCAGTTGGCCAGTCAGCTAGTTTGCAAGCTAGCTCGATTTTTCGCTCAACGAACAAATGCCACTTAGCCGGCCTAGGCTTCTTGACTAGGTAGCTTTGCGAGTTTGCTAGTCAGCTAGTTAGCAAGTTTGTCTTTAGGGGTCTTGGGGTGACAGAAGCTATGGCAGCGCCGCACCCCCCGTGTCCCACCTTCGGCCAACCTTTTCCTCAGGCTTTGAAGCTCTGTGACCGCACGGGCTGGTCTTACTGCTGGGGCCCCGGCTGAGATTTCCCTTTCACCTTGGTTCATAGGGAAGCCCAGTTCTTCGGGTCCCCCAATTTGGACACATACCCACGAGTTTGGAAAGGGACGACTGATGAACAGTTGTGGTCCCTGAATAGTCCAGCAGATACTTCTTGTGGCAGATCACTAAGAACCTGCCACTTGAAGTATAGGTATGTCCTAACGTTGGACAACCCATGTTGAATGGTGCTGGAAGGGAAGCCAGAACAAAGCTGACCATTTATAAGCGAGGGGTTCCTGGGAAATACCCCGACTCTGAGTCTAAGCAAGTAGCGGTGAGGGTTGCTTTAGGCATTTGAGCTGGCAGTTTTGCCGCTTTTGGGAGACTCTGGTTTGAGCTGGTGTGACGCGGTCCGGAGGAATTTTCTTGGAGTTCGGGGGTTGGTCATCAATCCTGGGATTTCGTGCAACCTTCATGACAAATGGATCCAGTCGAAGCCGTGAGTATCCGACAGGAGTCTTGACCTAACATGTTGGCCTGAGCCCCTTAGGGCTCGGGCCAAACACAGAATAAATGAATCTCCAACAAGGTTCGTCAAAGGGACAACTATTGATAAAGAAGCAGAGAAGTCAAGACTTCACTTGCGTGTGATTTTCACTCGGGGACATACTTCCTAGCTTTCAGTGAAGTTAGCTTTTCTTTTGGTGATTGCCAGAGGCATTGCCCAGCAATTTCGGGGGAATGGAATCGAGCAAAAGAACCCAGAGCCTGGTATTCTAACCACCATTCAAGCAATAGACATTCATGTAACCACCATCGTTTACCTAGGCGGAGAGGCGAGCCAAGGCATAGGGGGGCACCCCTATTCATTGGTGGCCCTTTAGCTTCCCTTTCAACCACCCAAAAGGAAAAGGAAAGGTAGCTTCCGCCTCAAACCAGACAGAGCCTCGGTTTGAACCTCAAGGGGACTTGGACATCAATTAGGTGGCGGTTTATGTCCACCAACCACTTTTGAGCCCGGTTCCCACTCGCAAATTTGGCCACTTCAAGGGACCTTTGCCGTGGCGAAGCGTTCCAAAGCGGCAGCTGTGTGAACTCGCGGCAGTGTTTTTTTTTTTTGTTTTTTTTTTTCTCCGGGGCAGCGACATGCCGTTTTGTTCTCAACATTCCCAAAGAGCAGTTGAGGTTCCTTTCTTCCAAGTTGGCCTTCCTTTCATGCCAATGCGCAAGCCGAACACCAACACCACGGGCGTGGTGTGGTTGGGCGGGCGTAGGTCGAGAAACCCCGGACGTGGGATCCATCTTCTCAATCTCCTGGTGCAGCGCGGGAGCCTCAGAGGAAAGCGGCTCAGCCCAAGAGCCATCTAAGAGCCCTCGGAATTTTCACAAGGCGCAGTGCTTCAAGGCAAGGAACAGAACCCTTTGGTTCAACTTGAATCTTGAATATCACGGGTAAATTGCCGGATCCAGGCATTTGCCTTGTTTTGACCATCGCGACACCATTCTGTGCAAGCAGACATCCTCCTGGTGAACCACCATTTCGTTGGGGGTCAGCAAGATGGGCTTACAGTATGCTGAAGACATAGTCATACTGAGCCCCCCCCGGATGAATCTAAGATGGTCGCTACCCCCAAACCTCCAAGAAGATAGAGGTATAGCCACTAGGTGCCGGGTCACCCCGGCAGCCAGCCTCAGCCCTAAAACCGAAACCCCGAAACCCTAAATCCCCAAGACCCCAAAACCCTAAAATCCCCCAAACCCTAAAACCCCAAAGCCCGAAAATCCGAACTCCCGGGGGCCGGGGGAAAAAAGAAAGCCTCGACCCGTCCTCGGCTTTCCCCGACTTAGGACGGCACGCAGCTGGCCTGCGGCAGCGGCAGCGGGCACGTGGTCTTCGGCAGTCTCGTGGCCGGGAAGCCCAGCGACCGCTCCGAGGGCCCAGGCCATCCAACTTGGCTGTGGTCAAAACCGCTTTGGGATCCCAAAAATGGGGTTTTCGGTGCACCACAGTTTTTTGGAATCTACCCCAAAACTTTGGAACCCGTTTTAGAACCCATTTTAGAACCACCCATTTTAGGCTTCCTATTTTAGTGTGGATTGAATCGGATGTTCACTGGGGGTGATGTTGATGGCCACTTGAGCTCGAGAGGCGCGAGGCGCGGATCCGTTGGGAAGGTTTTGGGCGTCCAAATTTGCCCAGCCAAGGTTTGCTCCGCGAATTTCGCGAGTTTGAGGCTATGATTGATCTCAGCGAGCCCAAAGAGTCGGTTTGCATTTGGATTTGAAGCCCTGGTAGAGGGTAACTGGGTTTAGGGTCTCAGCGAACACCACTCAATCCAAACCGAATTCAATTCGGTGGGTGAGGGGAACACCTCCAGACGGAAGCATCCCATACAGTGCGAGATGGGTGATGTTACCGGTTATTGCCTCCCTTTTAAACCGCCCCAAGCAATTTGGGTACCCGCAAGAAAAGCAGATGCAGTGGTTGTTCAAAGGGGCAATTTTTAATTCTGACTGCTTTGATCTCACCGTTGACTGGATGCACCCATCTGGGGCAACCCTCGAACATGTGGGCCCACTTTGGTACCAGGTTTTGATTCTCACTCAAGGGACAATGGGTTTTCATTTTTCAGGTAATCTTGGTGGCTGGACCAGACAATTAGAATACCTAGTGGCCATTATATAATTGGGGTGGTACCAGTTTATGCTGCCACTAGGGTACCACTTTATTTTATGCTCCTTATGATCAATCACCATATATCTGTCTGATGTGAACTGGTGCTTCGCGGTGCCCTGTTTCAGCACATGCAAGGGGCGATCATGATTCTACGTCCCTAGAGAAAGAAAAACGCTTCAGTGGGACATGGGTATCGCTGGCCGCATGCTGATTGAGAGCCCGTACCATGGCCGCAAGCGCGGGAGAGTCACCGGGCTTGGGTGTCGCGAAGCTCAAGGCGAAAGGCACTCGCCAGGGAGAGCGGCCACCCAGTTGAGCACTCGTTACACACAGCGCTCAGATGGCCATGGGTCAAAATCCAAATCGTACCAGTGAACATCACAATCCAACCACTAAAATAGGAAGCCTAAAATGGGTGGTGAACCTCCCCCAAAATATGGATTCAAAGGCGGGCACCTTTGGCAAGGCGCCTGGCGTTGGTTTGATCAAAGCAAAGCGACTGGGAGTTGATCCAACGAGGACCGGTCCTGCACCTGGCAGAACATGGACGTCACGCTGGACGAGAACAACACCATCACAGCGCCTCAGCTCACATATGCGTCATATGCGTATGTTCTGTTGGTAGTCTTGCCATTAGATCCATTGAACCCATTGGCCAGACGTGCAATTTCAGGGCTGCGGAGTTGAACCGGCTCCGTCAGCGATGCGTTCGTCGTTGTTTGCTTTGGGGCTCGGGGAAGTGCCCAAGGCATTTGCTTTTGAAAGGCACCAGTTGAACCAGGGCCGTATTCCTTGACCAGCAGCCAGTGGTCAATCAAATTGCAAAGAGTGGTACATTCCCTTAGACCCGGCAAGCAGGCCATCAGCGGGTAATTTGATGCGAGGGACACACGAGCACCAAGCATCTTAGGTGGTGGATATCTTGAACGAGACCAAGGAGGCTTGAATCAAAAGTGGCCGAGCAAATTTTGGGTTGCATTCTGTTGGCCGGCCAGCTGCAACCTGCAGGAAATACGGGAAGAGGTCCATAACAGCCTTTCCTGAGAGTTCCCATGTGCATTCTTGAATTTGGAAAGCCTCAAAATCGCCCGATTCTGAAGTCCGGAAGCAAATTCAAGGCAACAATTTGCAAGGGTTCTGATTTCAGGAGATTTTGTAGACACGGATCGGCCGGGGTGCCTCCCCAGTGTTTTTAGCGACAAGGCGGAGATGGGGGCTGTTTTAAGCTTTTGGCCCATTCTCTGCCAACCTGCAAGCATTCCTTCCAAAGATAAGGTGCCGCTTGGATCTGGTGTCGCGTGATTTTCAGTTTGGACGCTTCCTTCATCCTCCGCAGGGTGTCCGAAACGGTCGGTTCCCGAAACGATGGACTGGGCGTTTGACTTCGCTGGGAGTCTTTTTGTACCAGAGGGTTCTGTCAGGAGCTGGACTTCAGAGATCGCGTCACCGACATGCGCCAGCCCCAGAGTTGTTTTTTCTTTTTTGTCCGGAGCGGCCAGAAGGGGACTCCGTTTCCAGGGAAGGTTCGGAGGGCACCCATCTCAGTCTTTAAGGGGGGGTTCCCTATCTTTGGTATACCCCGTGTGTTTTTTTCAGCCAAGATGTGAATATGTTTACCCTTGCATGAAACTCGTCTTCCAAACCAGATCCGTGCACTGTACGTCTTTGGTTGGAGGGTACTGGGATCTTCTTCCGCTACGGACGGAGGGAGCACATGTTTTTCCCGGCAAAAGCTGGCGGCGCCTTGAGGTCTTTAGCGCATGGAGCGCTGGTGGTGAACACCAACAGCCAGTGCTTCGTCTACCAATCCACAAATTGGAACACGCCCGGAGCTGAAACATCGAATGACGCCTTGCAGCGTGTCGAGCGTGCCAGATTTTTTGGAACGCCGTTTGGCCCATAAGCCCCAAAGGGCAACATGGAGCTCAAGAGCAGGTTCGGGGTTGGAAAAGAGGGGTTAATCGGCTTGGAAAGATCACGTGGACGAGCTGGAGGTTCCCTTCTCTTTTCATTTGCTGGGGGACGGGGGGCCCCTAACTGCTCGGCTCCGGTTTCAATGTAAACATCCGAAATGGGGACACAATCATTTGCGGTTAGCTGCCAATGTTTAGGGATTCTGAACGCAGCATCATTGCTGGGTCTGGGGTAATTTACCAACCAAACCGATCCCTGAAAAAGATGGGGAGGTTGGAGCTAGACTGAATATGTCAGTGGATGAGTGGGCACGCTTCTTGGAGGGAGAAGGGGACCTAAATGACGGTAACCGGCTGAATGGGGTGCATCGTGACACAAATACTTCCGTGCAGCTTTAGCATAGCGTGAGTGCACCCTGCATTCACGTTACCGAGTCTTAAGTTGGCTTTAGAGAGGGGAATTCGAGTCCCTTGGAAGGAAGGCCTTGGCTGTGATCCGTGGCTGAGCAGTGGGCTTTCCACGCGGGGTGAGGTTTTCCGTCTTCAGCAATGGTTCGCTGGTTCAACCCACAGGCAGCTGGCAGAGATTCGGATGTTGTCATTCCGCAAAAGGTGCCCTGGCACAAAATGAACGTCTGTGCGGCAGACGTCACGAGCTTCTCATGCGAAATGCAATTCCCCCCCCCAAAAAAAAAGACAAAAAAGAGAAGCAAAACAATCAGAGACATTGCAACGAGAGCGAGGGAGATAGAGAAGAGAAGCCCCATGTCTCAGCGTTGCTTAGGCCCCATGTGGAAGATCTGAAGGAGCCTCCGATGCTTATCGTCCAGCCTGTGTCCCAGAGTGACCACATGCGGCCTTTCTTGAGGTTGTTTGTTTTGGGGCCGCAGAAATGCTAGAGGTCAAGTTGCTTTGATGTGGTTTAAGGGACGGAGTGTTCCGCAACCCCCATATGCTCGTGGTCGCTGCTTCGGGTTCCTCTCTGTCCTCGCGAAGTGGCTGTGAGGAAAAATTAATCTGGTACATGTACCCATGTGCGCATCATATTGTGTAATTATGTATCACACTTTCTTTGAGCATCTATTGACCTTCAAGAGAATGATTTGCGTTTCATACTGTGGATGGTTGCGAAATCCGTTCTCCTGCACCACCAAAGAAACTCTGGGATGACAATTTCCTGCAAATACCAAGCAACAATGGCTTGAACCATGGTTTCAAAGTGGTGCGAAATGGTTTTCGCAGCCATCCACAGCATGGACTCTAGTATGGTTGCATTCCTCTGTAGAATTCACGATCCATAGCTTGAAAGGTGTCGGCCCATGTAGAAGGAGCCCACAAGATGCCTTATGATTTCTCACGCATAAACTCATGTGCATGTAGGTGCATATAGAGTAGAATGGGATGCAATTGCATATGCAGGTGTGCGGCTGCTACCCGCATTCTTAATATGTGGACCTTTGTTGCTTGTGCGATTTTCTATAGTCAAGAAATAACGACCCCTTTGCCCCCAAAGGCATGGTAACTTGCCTAGTTGTGTGTTCACTGGCGTGAGGTTTGCATGAGGCCACTTTGGTTTAGGTTGAGGGTTGCATGACATGACAGACTTGTCAAACGGCAAACGCCGTTTGGCTCAAGCGCTCACTGAAAAAAGGGCGCTGAGTGCGGAACTAGAGTTTAGAGACAACCCCCTGAACCGCTGAGGGATTAACCACGGTCAATCCACCTCTTTTTGTTCAGGGCGCAGCCTTCGGCGCGCGTTTGGGGTTTCTTGCTCTTTTGATTGGTTATCAGCCGTATAGCCTTTCTTTCGGGATTAACTAGGCCCTCCCTCAGCGGTTCCCCCATAAGGGGGCGCGCGTGGCCGTCGAGGAAGAGTACCACAAACGTGGTACCCGTGGAGGAGCCGCGAACAAGAAGCGAGTGTGGTGGGAGCTCCAGGCGGACGTGATCGACGAGGTCCAGCAGCGTTTTGGGTTTACACCACCCAAGTTGCAGTGGGAACAGGGATCAGAGGTGCAGCTTGCTGCCCTTCGGGCCTGGAACCGGGACGTCACCGAGCAGCGCTGGGAGGAGCTTCACAGGTGGCATCAGCCTACGGCCCTTCGCATCCGGGCAATCCGTGAAGAAGAACGGAGGGCCGCAGCCGCTGCAAATCCAGTGCCTGCCACTCCCTCGTCTCCGACTCCCTCTACACCACCTCAGCAGCAGCAGGCGGCGCAGCCTTCCGTGGCCCAGCAGGCTTCACCTGCTGAGGCTTGGTTGTCTGCTCCGGCTTTGCCTACAGCGAGGACCGCAGCCCAAGGCGCGGTGACTGGTACAGCTCCGAGGAGAAGGACATCTACGACCTCCCCACGGTCAGTGTCAAGGCAAGTTCTGCGAGCAGTTTATTCCCAAGTACCCATCGTGCTTAGGTCTCGCTCTCGGTCAAGAACTCCGACACCGATCCAGGAGGCCGCAGCCCTCGGCGCGGCAGGCGAGTCGAGCAGTCGGGAGCCTTCGGGAACCCGCAGAACTCCTCGCCCGACGACCAGTCGATCCTCGCGTGGCAGATCGAGGAGTGTGCCATCAAGGACCTCGCCAACCGACAGGCCGATCGTGCTGGCGCCAAGGAGCTCGGCCTATCCGACGGTCCGCCGACCGGACCGGCACGTGGACACTGCAGAGGGAGCAGCCCTCCGGCGCTCCACGGGCATTTGCAGGCCGAGCCCGCTCACGTCTACCGCAGTTCAGTGATCCTCACGAGCTGCCAACGGACGTGTGGCTCCGCCCCGAGGCCTACGGGGAAAGGTCTAGTTCCTCGACCCCAAACTACGGGAACGCGGAGGTCTACCACCTGGCAGACTACTCCGACGGGGACACAGTGCACAACACAGAAGATTTGCTTTCAGGCAGAGCAGCATTCCGGGCGGGTGGGGTATACGAAGCACCGTTTCATAGACCTACAGTGCCGGCCTCACCTCCGGCCCCTGCTACGAAAGCCACAGTAAAGTGCGGGACGCGGCCAGCGGCGCGGGGAACAGTTGCAGCATTTTTGGCAAGCAGTCACGGGCGTGTTCCAAGCAAAGCGAGGTCTTCTTCGCCCCCACGCTTAGCGGCACCCCCAGCCAGAAAGGCGTCTGTCCCTGCAAGCAGCCGGCCTGGCCCACACATCAGGTTCAAGCAGCCGCCGGCATCGTTGAGGCTGAATCAAAAGGGAAGGGAGCAGCCTTTGGCGCTCCAGACCCACCCTGGCGGCAACCGCCACAGCGAGAGCCACCGAAGCCTCCTCCACCAAGGCGAGAAAGCCACGGGATCCCAGATCCCCCACCACGGACAGCCCTCACGGACCGGAAGACGCTCAACGTCGTCCTGGACTGGCACGGGGTGCTCGACGTGAACATCCGCTCTGGGGGAAGGCTTCACCCACAGATCGTGGACGGATTGGTTCGTCTACAGACAGCTCACGGCCCATTCAACTGGATTATTTGCAGCTATTGTGGGGTGGAGCGCGAACGAACTACGGCACCGGAGATCGCCACAGCAAGGGTACACTTGGCTTACAGGGGCATCTACGTTGGTACAACGCAGTTCACGCGCTCCAGGGTTGGCGTTGCTGGCAAAGCAAACCTGTTGCACGGCTGGGCAACACACATCCTCGTGGACGACAACGCCGCAATCTGTCGTGAGGCGCGACTTACAGGCGCGCACGCCTTCCGGGCGTACCCCAGCCAGGGGGTGCAAAGGACTCTGGACGCGTTGATTGCTATTGAGCAGTGGTTGGATCAAACCGACCGAGCGACCATTCAGCCTGCCCGTGCACTTACTACCGCAGAGCTCCTTGAGGAGGTTCGCAGGTAGCAGATCACCTGGTGCTCACGACAGGGGTGCAGCCGTTGGCGCACCTAGGATATTTTCCCAACCTGTGCAGGGGGCAGCCGTTGGCACCCCGAAGAACTGTGGCGCAAAGATGCACGAAGTCACACATTTCCACTTGCACACAACTGCATTGGTGAGCCTTCACATTTGCATCCAAATTGCAAACAAAAGTTTAAGTTCAAAGGAGATTCCCCATTATCAATTAGTGAGGTATATCAATCCTTGTGTGACTGAGTGTGTTGCTGCATCATTCAATAATCTGTGTTGAGTGTAGCCGTAAGCGCACATCTCATAATCCCACCAGGCACAAATCACCGGCCTTGGAGAGTGCTGCCTTGGCGCACTGACTTGGTTCGTGTGCAGGAAAAGCTATCGCATCCGTGCGGCTCAGGCATGAATCCCTCTGGCATTACACCCCCATCCGAAGATAGGTCTAGATCCTCACATGGCACAGACTATGATGACCCAGACCTTGCGGGTGCAATGGTGCCAGCCATGTCTGTTGTTAGGCATAACCCTAATAGCCCTGCACCAGATTCCGATGCAACCCCTGTTAGGCGCATGTTCGTTTCAGAACCATCCTCATCAGAGCCGGCTGGAACGCCCGATCCAACCCAGAACCTCCCAGCTGCTGCATTTGTTGCGGGTGCCGCCGTTCAACGTGCCCACCATGCTTCCGACAGGCCGCTGAACATGCACAGCAACAGCAACTGCTGGCTGAGCAGGCCCGAAGGGAGGCGGGGGAACTCCGGGAAGCCGCCCAACAAAGGGAAGGGTTGTTTAGGCATCAGGCAATGAACCTTGTAACCCAAGCTCAACAGGCCGTGAATTATGCACGTGAGCACGAGCTCAATGCGAGGCAGCAAGCCATTGGTGCTGCGGAGCAAGAGGAGGCAACCAGGCAACAGGCCGAGGTGCTTAGGCTTCAGGCGCAAACAGTCGTTTCCGAGGCCCATGAAGAGGTAGGTCAGACTAGGGCTTTAGCTGAAAGGTACGCAGCAGAGGTTCGCAACAGAGCTAATGCTGAACAGGCCCAGGCCCAAGCTCAGGCCCAATACCTTTATCAGGAAGCGCAACGTGCCGTAGCCGAACGTGATGCCACCATTCTAGCTCTGCAAGAGAAGGATTTGCAACAAGCGTCTAGGTGAGCCGAACTTGAAAGGACGGTTTCCCTTTTGCTTGAAGTCCGTCAGCCTCCGACTCGCTCGCCGCAAAGTGCCCCGCAAGCACAAACCGATAATGGTACGGATTCTAATACCCCTCAACCCAAAGGGTCGCGTAACCGGAGCTCCCCCATTTTGGGTGGACAGGATGTGTCAATGGGTAACCAAACGGGGGCTTCATCCAGTGGATTGCAAGACCAAGCAAACCAGCAGAGTGGACTTGATAGATCCTCACAACAGGGTTTAGATAGTGCCGCACCTCAAGTGGGTCCCCATCATACAACTGGTGTCGACTCGGGCGCCCAGCCCGGTGCTTCCTCTGCCAACCTGCATGTCACATTCCAGGATGTTGCAACCCCACGTGATGTTGCCGCAGGAAGTGTGGGACTCGCAAAGAGCCTCGCCCCTACCGGCCCAACACAGGACATCGCAGGAAGTGCGGGACTCGCAAAGGGTTCTGCCCCTATCGATTCAGAGCAATGTGCCGAAGCAGCGATCGCCAAAGGAAGTGCCACGTCCGCAAAGGGCGCAGCCCCTACTGGCGCATTCGATGTAGGTGCAGGTGCCGCAAGCAACAGTGCTGTGTCCGCCAAAGGCGCAGCCGTTGGCGCGCAGAGCAGTAGTCAGGATGAGAAAAGTGAGATAGCAGATGTTAAGCAGCAAATTGCTTCCCTAGCCTCAATGGTGCATCAGCTTAGCACTTTGGTCGCGGCACAAAGCGCGGCTCCTCCTCCAATGGCTTCAGCTCCCTGCCCTGCCCCAACTGCCGCAAGGGCTGCTAAGGCATACCCGGTTCCCATAATCCCCCCAA